TTAACCCCAAACCCTAAACCATGAACCTCCAAGTAAGCCGGTCCGACTTCCCGCCTTACAGGGGAGTCGAGTTCTCCCCCGGCTTGGGTTGGCATGAAGTCAAGTGGAGAGGCACCGCGTACCGTGGATCGGCGGTTTAGGGTTTAGGGTTTAAAGGTTTTGGGTTCAGGGTTTGGGGCATTTAGGGCATTTAGGGTGTGTAGGGCTCAGATTGGGCGGTTGGGGTTTAGGTGAAAGCATAGGCCAAAAACAGCAGAAGACCACATCATGGTCGTACAGGGCTGTGGGCTGAGGGCTTTGGGTTTAGGGTTCAGGATTCAGGATTTAGGGATTATGGGCTTAAGTTAGCATATCATGTGGGTCATGTGATATCGAGGAGCTGCCTACACACAGACTGCAGCAGCGGAATGCCAACACCATACCAGGCATAGAGGTGCTGCTTGTGAAGAAACACAGTATAAAGCACGTCGGTGATACATCTTTTGTTTATGTGCGTTCAGGTAGCCCTCGTAGCAAAGCATGGCAATGCTCCCGCTCCCATATAGAAGGTTGTCTTCAAGAGCAGCATGTCACACAAATGTAACATGCAAACCCAAACAGATTGAATAGGAAATTGCGACAGGCAGCAGTACTTGAAATGTGTAGATATGTGCACCTACGGTAAATCTTCATGTTACACGCATAGTTGTTTCTGGCCGGTGCGGCAGGTCCGCTGACCATGTCAACAAACTTCTGTCATGCGCCCGTAGGAACTACCGAGGTGAAGAGATGGTCTTGGTAACCCTAAACCCTAAACTCTAAGAAACCCCAAGAAACCCTAAACCCCAAACCCTAAAAATCCTAAACCCCAAACCCTAAACCCCAAACCCTAAACCCCAAACCCTAAGCCCTTCTCGCAGACATTGTCAGGTAAGCTGCAGATTCTTGTCATGGAGCGCCTCCAAGGCTGTGAATTTGACACCTTTTAGGGTTTAGGGTTTAGGGCTTTGGGTTTAGGATTCAGGGTTCAGGGTTTTAGGGCTTTAGGGTTCTACTTGGAGGTTCATGGGTAGTTATAAGTGGAGTTATAAATTCCCTAATATAGGTTATAACTATAGTTGCCCTACTTATAACCCTACTTATAACTACCCATGAACCTCCAAGCATGTCGCAGATTACGGGGGTAGTTCTCTGGGCTCTAACGCCTATGTGGCCCAGGCTTGGGTATACATAAAGAAACCCTAAACCCTAAACCCCTAAACCCTAAACCCCTAAACCCTAAACCCTAAACCCATAAACCCCTAAACCCCTAAACCCTAAACCGTGGGTCTCAGTGTGTTGTCTGATGAAAAAAGACGGAACTTACAAAGAAGATCCGAGGGACTTAGAGAGTACGGATACTTCAAGGTTCATGGGTAGTTAGAAGTGGAGTTATGAGTTATAAGTCCTCTAGTGTAGGTCATAAGTATAGTTATCCTACTTAATTATAAGCCCTACTTATAACTACCCTTGAACTTCCAAATGTGACCCCTTACAGACGTTATAGGATCCAACCCCCTTATAGATCCCTTAAAAGAAGCCTTATAACTACCCATGAACCTCCAAGTATATGCTGGGCGACTGCAGCTATTTTTCCGTAGCATGTCAATTGAGGCGCTTGTGCCCTGGCCTACGTAGTCCACGCTCTGTTGCCTAAGCCGGCTTAGAGCTTAGCCTTAAGGGACTAGGGTTTCCGGTTTCGGGGTATAGGGTTTAGGGTTTAGGGGTTTAGGGTTCAGGGTTGAGGGTTTAGGGTAGGTTTCCGGGTTTCGGGTTAAGGTTGCTTCTAGCATGTTACAGCCTGCACCCTTAAGCTTAATGCCGTAAACACAAAGCCTTGGACAGGAAGCCCTACCCCTAGCAGCACAGGCTTTGGGGCTCGACGGCAAGAAACCTGTCCCAGCTTCAGGGATTAAGATTCATACGGGAATATGGCTGTGTACATAGACCTTCTCTATGTGATCGTAAGGGCTTCTTAGAGGGGTTCTGTTTCAGGCGCCCACGTGCACCGCCGGCTGGTGATCGTCGAACTAGAACCACAAGACGGGAGTCACGTGGCCAAAATCATAAACCCTATAAGCCCTACCTGAACCTCATAAAACTTTTTCGTGGGCATTTAACACACGGGAATCATAGTAAGACCCTAAACCCTAAGCCCTCAAAAGATAGGGTATTTAGGGCTTAGGTTCGCATGCGCTGCATTTCGCTAGACCCTTCAAGATCGCAGTCCGTGCAGAAAAAAACCCACCGCCCAATTTGCGTTGAGCCCTACATCCTATGACCTACGAAGCCTCAAACCTTTAAGCGCTACGCCTTAAACCCTAAACACTCTGAGCCCTAAGCCCTACACCTGAAACCCTAGACTCCCTTCCACGAAGTGGATTCTGCCGACCTTAACTGCTAGGTGGAAAAAGGTGCTTTTAAAAAACAACCTAAGCCCTGCCCCTAAAGCCCCCGTATAAGCCTTGTTTATACCTAGGAATCTGTCCCTAGAGTCGAGTTGAAGGTTTAGGGGTTACTTATTGTTTGGGACTGGATTAGGGTTTAGGGTTTAGGTAGGATAGAGACTGGTTTAGGGTTTAGGGTTTAGGTAGGATAGAGTTTCGCATAAACTAGATTCCGTAATTGTTTCAAGGTGTAGTGTGCTCTCGTGGTCCAAACCAGGCCCCTTCCGGCATTGACAGGGTTCAGGGATTTCGGGTTTTGGGTTGAGCGTATTAGGGGTCTAATTAAGTGTTTACAGGTTTAGGGATTTTGGGTTGAGGGTATAAGGGGTCTAACTAAGGGTTTAGGGGTTTAGGGTTTTGGGGTGATTAAGTGTTTAGGGGTTTAGGGTTTTGGGTTGAGGGTATAAGGGGTCTAATTAAGGCTTTAGGGGTTTAGCGGTTTAGGGTTTTGGGTTGAGGGTATAAGCGGTCTAATTAAGGGTTTAGGGATTTAGGCTTATGGGTTGAGGGTATAAGGGGTCTAGCTAAGGGTTTTGGAATTTGGGATTTACGGGTTAGGGGCCACGCAGGCCTTTCACAGTGGGCACTTGCTCGTTGGGACCCATAGCTCTGGGTTAGTTCCTGTGCAAGCGCGGCACCATGTGCCTCAACATTATATACTTTGGTCCAACAGTACCTATATGGGAGTTTCCGAAAATAGGTTTTGGGGTCCTTATAATAAGGATCCTACTATTTAGGGTATTATATTAGGGTCCCCTGTTTTCGGAAACTCCCAAATAGGGACTATTTTAAGGCCACAGTGTATACTGTTTGGGTACATGGGGCAACCCCACAGCCCTAGGCTTGTTAAGCCCAACTCCCTGAGCCCTCAGCCGAAAGCCACCCGAACCTGAAGCCAAAAACCCGAAACCTGAATGTTCGTTTTGCTTGCCGCGGCAAGAGAGGATGTTCATAGGTCGGAAAAGAGAAACTGCTTTTGATGCTGCGGGTCTCCATATACTGCTCGGCTGCAGGATTGAGCCCGCAGAATGTGTGGGTGTTGGCTTAGCTTCAGGTCTAGGGCTCAGGCGGGAAAGGGGCACCTTGCAACCCTAAACCTTAAACCCCCAAACCCTAAACCCCTAAACCCTAAACCCCTTTATCCCAAGACCCCTAACCCTGAACCCTAAACCCTAAACCCCTAAACCCCTAAACCCTAAACCCCTAAACCCTACCTAATCCCTAGACCCCCAAACCTTTTTGAGGTTCCGTAGTCTCGTAGCGGGCATTCAGCAAACAGGCGTGGCCGGGGCTCGTCGGAAATCTAAGACAGTGCATCCAAAACCGGATAATTACACTACATGAGACGGTTTAGGGGGTTCAGGGTTTCGGGTATGATCATGAGGTAGTATAACATAGTTGTACAGTTCATAAATATTAGACCTGGAGGTTGCAAACTGCAAGGCATGAAGTACACAACGCTGCTGTGGAGCCAAGACCCAAATTCGCTCTGAACTTTACTCCACGAGGTCCCAACCTCCCAACAAATCCCTATTTGGTCTCTCCGCGGGCACGTGCTTTCCTTTTATTGTGGCCTTGCATTACTTACTAAACTCCCCAAGACCCAAAGGGAGCCCTTGTTGTTCCTAAGTTGCTGGGGACCCCATCTCATCAACTAACCCTAAAGGGTCCATGTACGTATCTACTGTATACTTTGGCCCCGAAGTATCTCTACTTGGAGGTTCATGGGTAGTTAGAAGTGGAGTTATAAGTCCCCTAATATAGGTTATAGTTATAACCATAGTTACCCTACTTATAACCCTACTTATATCTACCCATGAACCTTCAAGTAGAGGGGCTACTTGAATGCCAAAGTTTGCACTACATAAGCAGATGGACCTTTCGACAAAGCTGTACGAGCTCCAACCCAAACCTAAACCCTAAACCCTAAACCCCCATGCTCCAAATCACATCCTCCCAAAACCTGAGGCTGCAAATGGAAGCACCCCCAGCTAAAAGCCTTGGTTTAGGGTTTAGGGTTTTCCTGGAGGGTACCGGGGTAAGGGTCTAGGGTTTAGGGACCCAAAACAGTACAAAGAGAAGAAGAAAGCCACGACAAGTTCTCTCAAACTCAGCAAAGGCATCCGCGAGTTCCTCAAGGTCTGCCGTACAATGGCTTCTCTGCTGTCTCAATTCGGTTTTTATGGTTCAAAGGTTCCGGATAGGGTTTTCCATAATAAGATTTTATTGGTATGTTGGAGGGTATCAGGGGTTTCCGGGTGTCCTCTACAAGTTTTTTCTGTTTTCTAAATCAGCGGTGGTTAAACGGTTCTACAAGGCCTTCTAGTTTTGGTCCAGGGCTTCAGGCATGCAGGGCTTTGTGGTTTTGGGTTTGCAGAATTAGGCTTTAAGATTCCCTAAACCCTAAACCCGCAACCATAAATCCTACAACTAGGTTGAATGGCTTTGGGCTCAGGGTTTACCTGGAGCCGCAAGCGAAGGCGCTGGTGAATACATGAACAAAAGTAAGCCTCTCTAACTGTTAATCTAGAGGTCTGAACAGTTGGTAACAGCTAGTCCCTATATACCGATGCTTGAACAACCGCGCAAAACTTTATTCTGATTGTTTGGGTCTCCATGTCATGTAATCATGTGAATAGACTGTTCTCTGAATTAGGCTAGGATCCCTTTAAGGGTCCTTGTTGTAAGGGTGCAGTACTCTTCTGGGGAATCAAAGAGGGACCCTGATTTGGAGGACTACCCCAAACCCCAAACCGGCTGGGCACTGGGTTTCTCGGATCAGCACCTTCATTCCTACCTTTTGGAAGCGGGTGCGCGAAAACTCTGCGACCCCAAAGGCAAAACCTGCGTCAGGATTTTGGGTTTCCCTAAACCCTAAAGCCCAAAAAATAGCGCGCGCCGACAGGTTCGGGCAACATGTCAAAAAGCCCCAAACAAAGCCAAAATAGCTATCAACACTGAGCACTGCGCGGAAGGTCGGAGGTCTCAGTAGTTTTGACTAGTATCCCCTGGGAGTGATTTCCCCAGAGGGCTCCTATGTACCTAATATACGGGCTTCATAATTGCCTATACTATTGGGGGGGGTTCCTTATTCTGATATAATATACACCAACCCTATTATAATTGTTAAGGCCCCTACATTACATAGTAGAATCTCGTCTCCCAATGAAACCTCCAAACTCTTGTGCACCATGGGTTGAGGGGCTTAGGGTTTGGGATTTAGGGTTTAGCCCTTCCGTGCCTCGACTTCTTAAGGGTTTAGGATTTAAGTTTTATGGTTTAGGGTTCAGGGTGGAACATTTAACCGTAAACCTAAAGCCAGAACCCAACACTGAGCCCCTAAACTCTCGAGCCCGAAAGACCCAGGCGAGGGCACCTGAACCAGCTCCGACTCCTCCTGAGGACTGCGATTTGACTGACGGGCTGAAATGTAAGGGACTAGGCCGAACCCCACAAACCTTAAACCCTAAACCCCTAAACCCTAAACCCAACCCTAGACCCTAAACTGTCTGACGGGCTGCAATGTAAGGGCCGAGCCCCGAACAGGGGGTTTAGAATTGTTGGTTTCGTATCGAGGTTAGGGTTTAGAGATGAGGGTTTAGGGTTAAGGGTTTAGGGGTTTAGGGTTTTGGGTTTAGGGTTTAGGGTTTAGGGGTTCAGGGTTCCGGGGTTTAGGGTTGAGATGCAGGGGCCTTCACAGCGCTCCCCGACGTCGAGGCCATGTTGGAGATAGATAAGGTTATTGCTCATAAGCTTCTGAAGAACCCTAAACCCTTAACCCTAACCCTAAACCCTAAAGCCAACTCCAAATAACTATCCATGAACCCTCCAAGTAGCTCAAACCCCAACCCTGGGCCCAAGTAACTCGGGGCCGGCGGAACCCTCAAGCAGCTAAGTTGAGCTTCACCCGCCAAAACTTAGAGCACTTCAGAGAAACGATTCTTAATTTGCCCTAACTCCCCAGGTACCTACTATATAGGGCCCTATGGGCTCTAGTACCCTATATTATAGTAGGTACCTGGGTGGTTCGGGTTGTTTGTTTCTGTAATCTCTAAGAGACAGCTAGATTTATGGTTTGGTGCAAGGGTCCCAAGTTCAGTATAGAAAACATGAATGTCCTGAACCGGCACATGAAGAATGCTCGGAAGAAGAAGAACAGCGGTGTGAGCAAGTCAGAATTCAACGCGAAGTCTATTCAGCCTTCACCCCAACCACGTCAGTCCGAGAGCCAACCCCAAACGCAGAAGCCTTGAACAAACCTTATATGGTTTAGTTAGGGTTTACGGTTTAGGGGGGCCTAAACAATTACCTGAAAGATTTGGGTGGTTCCTCATTATCAATACAGTATATTGGGCCACAAAACCCCCTTTCTACTTATTGAGGCCCCTACATCCTAAACC